CAAGTGCTCTTACCACTGTATATAGAACTGACTTGGAATGTGGAGCCAGAGCCTGTTCCCATGTACGCTCGTGTGTGAGAGTGAGTATAGGTTTCATTACAGTGAATCCCTGGGTGCAGGATGCAGCTGACTGCAGTGTGCAGTCAGTGCTTTGTACAAATCCAGTTCTTGCCTTAAATAGGGCATCTCCATTGCACATGAGTAGTGATATACAGGGATCTGTTGTATACTCCACTAGAGCAATGGTCTTATACCAAGGGTGAGTGAGGCCTTATGTAGCGTTTGTCCACTGTGACTGTCCTAAGTAGTCTTCAATAAATATCAAGTTTTACCCCAGCTGAAATAGGCTGCGTTCTGTCCATACCAACCTTCCCTCTAGCAAGAGAAGTACTTTAATTTTGTGTGGAGGTTTGTATTCTATATGGAGCTTCCACTACTTTTCCATACCTTCTCTAGGACATAGCCAAGACCCATCTGTTCCTATGAAAGCCGGGACTACTATGGAGAACCTTCAAATATGAGTGGCATTAGTAGCATGTTGGAACGTGTCTCTCCAGCAAGGACACTTGTCAGATGTCCTGCTTAAAAGACAGCAGAAAAGGGGAAAAAAATACTGCTATCCTACTTTTATCAAAGGGGATGGAAGAGGGCGTCAGTATTGTCTCTGCTTATACAGGGGTGGAAGGAATGGCTCATGGTATTTGAGTTGAGTTTATCGGGCAGGTAATTTGGTAAAAGCCAGCAGAGCACCTCCCTGCTTCCTCAAAGTAAAAAGCGCAATAACACTGCATATCCAGGTTGTTTGCTGCTTGAACGTTTTATATAGGGTTAGACTGTTCTGTACAAACAAAGAGCTCAGTACAAAGGCAATATGGAAAGAGCACAGCACAATCAAAAGGCACTTAAGATATAAGGTATCCACCCTAAGGGATTCCTTATCTTCTTTTTCTCTGTTTATTCAAACAATGACGGGCTGTATTGGACAGGGAAGGTGTGTACCATTTTGATCATATATACTTACAGAAACTATAAGGAATGGGGTATCAGCATCACAGCATTTATGAAAATGTCTTGACAGCTTCCTTATGCTGTGGAAGGGCTGATATGAAAGATACATATTTATATATATAATTAAACAAACAGGAAAATACAACACAAAACAAGTCTGTCTGTAGCAGAGCCTTTCAGAAAAAGGATTAATAATCTGAATGGATACATTTTAGCCTTATCTTTCATAAGGTGAAAAAACAAGAAAGGGTTTCCATTTAAGATTACTATGTCCTGGTGCTACAGCCAAACACTATTAACTAAAGATAGTTGTTGTATTTAATTGTCCTAGTCTTCCTCCTAAGGAAGGGCACTAGTAATTGCCATAACATCCACAGTGCAGGAGGAGGACAGACGAAGACAGACGTCCTTCCAAAGGGCTGGGTCTGCAGAAGGTCTGCTGTGAACAAGGAGTGCTAGCTGCTTGTATTCCAGATCAACTGTGCAAAACAAAGCCAGGACATTCACCCAGAGAGTACAGACAAATAAGTGCACCTGAGACCACCTGGTTACAGTCCTGAGGTAAAAAAGAACACTTATATTGTGCCTTTACAACGATGTCTGGGGTCCAATGGTGATGCTGCTGTTTGTCACTCTGATCCCATACCATCCTGCCCAGTATTGAGTGTCTTGGCCTCCATGTTGAAACCAGATGTAACGAACTCCGGCTGGATAATTGTTGAAGGTGTGAGACATCTGTAGAAAAAGAAAATGCTTGTTACTTTGCCTAAATAAACCAGCACTGACCTTTAAACTAGGACAATTACGGTAAGAAAGCCTTGGTCTGAGGAAGGGCTCATTCCAAAATATCTTTTAAAGAAAGTGCATCATACCCCTTTTTGAGGGAGGAAAAAATAAAAAGCCTTATTTAGATGATTAAAGGGCAGAAGACTAAGTCAATCAATGTTGAGCTTGATTCTTGGGTACAGCATTCATTTGTCATATAAGGAACAACATAACAGGGAATCTACAGCTATCCAAACCAAGCTCAACATGTTTAGCAATTTAGGAAAAGTAGTGTCTGCAATACTTACATCCAAGCAGTATTTTTTAAAATTAAATTTTTATTTTCAACACAAATAAGAGCTACGTGTATGCTCCCATAACTCAGCTTAGACAAAAGCTTAAGTGAAAAACATACACTTGAAGAGACTAAGTAGAAACATCACAGAAGCATAGGGGGGAATACTCTTTAGGAAACCTCATGCACCTACAAAATCAACCTCGATCTTTCAGTGTTTCTTCAGCACTGTCAAGAGCAAGAACTTTTTTATTTTTTATCTTGAGTTAGAAGAGGCTGAAGAGCAGAGAAAGCAGGGCCAGTTGTGACTTTTAGCCAGGTAAGGTTTGAAAGATGCGTGTCTCAATCTTGATGTAAAGCTACTGTCTGGAGAGCTGCTGCTTACCTCTCTCCACGTTGCATCGCTCCACTGCTCTATAACCACTGGCTCAGGATGGAACTCTGCAAGCACGATGTAGTCTTCTGAAAGCAGCCTCACTGTAAGTTCATAACTACACCCACAGTCAAATCTGGCAGCGTACCTAAAGAGGCAGGGAGTAACGAAGAAGCCAGGGTTGTGTACACAGCATTCAATTTTCCTTAGCCTTCAGAAGGAGTCTCCAAAGTGGATCGAGGAAAGGAATGTCATACCCGTAGTTACGGAGGAGTTCTAAAACTTCCCATTATCTTTCTATTCACAGGATAATCATCTTATAGCCCACTGAATAAACTTAGATATAGCCTATGCCTTACTCAAGACTTCCAGATCCCAAAGGATAAAGAACATATTTTATAGCATGAAAAGCTTCAAAGGCCCAGCTTACATCTAGGTCATAATGGCAGAAATTCTATGCAGAATTTCAGTGTACACACTTACCAGTCCTTGACTATGATTTCAGGCCGTTTCTCATCCATCAGCTCGTTCCAGTATCCTTCCTTCTTCAGGGTAATAAGTTGAGACTTAAAGCACGGCCTGCAATAGAAATAAAAAACAACTTCATAAAACACATCGCTCTCAACATCCATAGTTCCATTTACATCCTTGCTTTTGCTAAAAGCTCACCCAGACCTTGAGTGCCCACAAGGCTGATATGGCTAAGACACGACTTTTTCCAAAGACAGAACCAGCAAGGAAGCAAACTGGTTAGCTTCACCTCCACATAAAAAAAATAAACTGGATTAAGAAGTTTCTGTGCTTGTATAGCATATGTTGCTAAAACGAAACTGCTTACAGGTTGTAAAAGCAGTAAATCCTCCACTATTAACAGCTTGCAATAAAAGCTGTCAGCATGACAAATGCACCAGGCACTCTTAGGGGTTAAGAGGTTTGACCTTGTGAGGTAAGTGCATCTGATCAGTTCACCAGACCTTAACCTCTGCCCACCACATTTGGTGGAAGAGAAGCAGGGATCCCACATGATAATGACCATAGACAAGATTACAGGAAGTTCCTGGTAGGGACAGAGAAATTTAGCACATGATGTTATAAAGTAATGCCTCAGAAGTATGCTGAGTAAATAGTCTCTTTAGAGTAGCTAGTACTAAAGGTTGAAATCGCCTTCATTTTCCTACAGATGGATTAAGGTTCAGTGACCTACTTCAAGTCCTCCGACCACAGTGCTTTTGTAGGCAGAGGAAGAACCAGCTTTCTTCCAGCACCAGATCACAGGAATACAGTTCTTACCCATATGAAGTGACAAAGTATTTGTGTACTTCTGGGTCTGGTATCTCTCTTCCAAGAGGTCCAGGCAGATCCTCAATATTCCATCTATCTCCCTCATTCTTATCAAGTTTCCAGTGCTTAAAGCTTTCTAAAAAAAAAAAAAAAAAAAAAAAAACACATAAAAGTGAGAGCTAGGGCCTCAGATTAGTTTTGTACACTATCCCTGCTTGCATTAAAAAGTCAGCTACATAAAAATACCAGAAATCTACTTTGATTAATAGTCAGGCATGCTGTATCTTTTCTACAGCTAAAAGTGACCTCTGTCACTATGTAGTCATTAGTTTGTGGTGGCTGTCAGCAGCTACAACAATTAGTAGCAACTTTTTGCCTGTATCAGAAACAGGAAGTCAATAATGAACTAGAGCAACTGCAGTCCTTTTAGCTGCTTCTTGAACAAAAAGAAAAAGACATGTCTGCCTGATTATTTAGTCCATTGGGTTGATAGTTTTATTGCTGTATCATCCTTGCCAGTCAGTGTCCACAGTGCTGAGGCCTTAGTGACTCACAGAGTTTTTTCTGGACTGTCACAGATGTGCATTTACCAATTCTTTACTTGCCCGTGATAGTTTCACTGTTTACTCATGGATCTGACCCAGGACGGACCCATCAGAGGCGGGCCAGCCCTACACCCCCAGCAGTGGTTGAGTAACGCAGGACTGACTCATTCTGACTGCTGGGAAACGATCTTAGCCCTCTGCTCTGAGTAGCGAACAAACCTTCAGCACGGGGATTTTTGATTAAGTTTCTCTTCAGGTAGCACAGCATGTAGAAGACCTTCCAGTCGGAGACGCTCCTGTCCAAAGCCTGGACGTAGAACCCTTCGCGCTGGCACTTGCGTTTCCACAGGGTGGTCAGGTCCACCACGTAGCGCCACTGCGAGCACACCAGCCTGCAGCCGTGGATCAGGTCCCGGGCCGGGAGCAGCGACAGCAGCTCCACCAGCACATCCTCGGGGAGCTCGCAGATGGTCGCCATCACCGACACACCTCAGCGACGAGGGATGCGAGCGCTGGAAGCCTCCCAGGCACCTGCAGCGCAGAGACCGGGCTGCGTTCGTGCCCGGTTACCGGCACATCGGCCACACGGGCTCAACCCAGAGCCTCAGGGAGCCTCAGGGAGGCGTCCCGGCCTCGCCGCCTCTCACCGGCCCCACCTGGGCTCGGGCCGAGCCTCCTCCGGACGCGGATGTGAGGCGGCGGCCGCCCTTCCGTAGCGGGCGGAGCGCGGGGAGGGGAGGTGGAGCCGGGCCTCAGCCGCTTCCCCGCCCCGGGCTGCGGCATCCAGCACCCAGAGTCTGCCCTCGCCCCGGGACGGAGGGCAGCAGCCGGGCCTGAGGAGGGAGCCAGGAGGCGTTCGGCGCTTTATGAGGGGAGCCCGGCCCGGCCCCGCTCCCGCCTGAGGTGGGAGCCGCCCGGTGAGGGGAGGGGAGGGGAGGGAAAAGGGGAGCCCGTGGGGGTCTGCATGGGAAATGCCTGCAGGGGATTTAGCCAGCATGCTTCTGTCGTTGGGTTTTAAACGTGTGTTGCCCTTCAGGACTGCAGTAGAGGGCTAGAAAGGGGGAAATTGGAGAACCCCAGTCCTGCTCCCTAAAAGCCAGCGAGTTTTAAATGACTTTTCCCTCTGAGGGCTGCAATGCAGATGGAGAAGACAGCTCTGCCTCCGGGCCACCTAGATTTAGGATGCTGTTACAGTAGCCACTTCCTATTTCTTCCCTTCCTTGCCCGGTTTGGCACTGCCCGTACTTCATCCCGTAGCGCTGTCAGGATATCTGATCCGCGCTGTTAATAATGCTCTCCTAGGCTTAATGATTCACTCCTGAGGAGCCTGGCTCTGTGCAGCTCACTGCAGACCTAACAGCTTCCCAGCATCAGGGCTCAGCTGGGCTAAAAGCAGAGTCACAGCGCATCCCACACCGACGACACGGAGCTCTGAAGCTGCACACTCATCCGTCCTTATTTCTGCAGCACCTGGCCCTAAAGCCCAGGTAGCAGAGAGCCATTGAGAGTCAGGGGGCAGAAACAGCAAGTAAGTTAGAAGCATGTGCTTTTACCTCAATTGCTAAGACCAAAAAGGAAGTTTAACTGAAAATAATGCAGTTAAGGTATTTCATGCTCAGACCTGTGCTTTATACAGGCTCATGACTAAGGACATTAAGTGCCAACCCCTTGAGGGGAGGCCTTCCAGATATAGAACCAACAACCACTGCAAGCGCTTGGCAAGATGCTCTCCGCTGATATTTAGGTACTGCTCTGCAGCATTTGTCATCAATGAGGTTCTTAAAAAGGCAGAACAAACCCAGATGCCTGCAGCATTCCCTCCTCAGAGGAAGTCACTACTGAGAGCTGCTTTTTTTAATAAGTGGAGATTTTGGGAAGGAGTGATTCCAGTCTAGGATACTGAATATGTCAGCTGTATATGTCAGGTACTTGCATTTCATGGATAGATTTAACTAAGGTCTTCGCTTACAACATAAAATATTAATCTACCCACATCCTTCAGGGTAGTAATAGTAGGGGTCCAGATGTCTTTAGGTTAAGAATACCCCTAAAATCATGCTGCACCTGCCTTTCAGATAAAGATGATTATTTTCCCTAACTCCTCAGTGCTTGGCATTACTGGGGGCAAGAGACCCCATTTCTCATGGTCCACTGCGTCACTACCCTTTCCCTCCTGTCTCAGACAGCCCCATTCAGCCTGACCCAAGGATGGAGTCCCTCCCTGAAGCAGTCCTGATCAGAATCCTGGCTTCCATACCTGCAGTCGATTTGGTGTTGGCATGCCGCCTGGTCTGCTGCCAGTGGAAGAACCTGGTCGATGGAGCTGCTCTCTGGATCCTGAAGTGTCAGCAGGAAGGCCTCACTGGAACAGAGTCAGAGGAGAATGCAGAGAACTGGCAAAACTTCTACTTCCTGAGTAAGAAGAGGAGGAATCTCATCAAAAACCCGTGTGGCGAAGGTGAGAGACAAGCATAACAAGCCCCAATATTGAAGAGAAGGCCAGTCACTAGGAACTGGGCATCTCCAGTCTTTAACATAGATCTTAGTTGCCATCAGGGTGCAGCATTTTCTTCTTACTCAAGACCCAAATCACTTCATGCATGCAGTCAAATAACTTAACGGGCAAGGTGGCCTCCTGTCAAAATCAGCCTTTGTAAAGGGCTCTATTTGACATCAATGTTATGTAAGATATACAGCTTAACTATTTACCTATGTCCCAACAATGTTCCTCAAAGTTCTAAAAATATCACTAGTGAGAACAGAAAACAAGGAATTTAGTATATGATGGTGATTTGCTAACAGAAATGAAATAAAGAAGTCATCAGCTTTTCCCAGACTGCTTCTATAATAGGACATGAAAGTGCTGAGACAACAGAACACCTAAGTGATTTCACTATTATTTTCTTAAATAAGCCCACATATACATAGCCATTTTGGTGGGGAATGCTCAAGTTTACTGATGTTCAACCAAACTAAATGTTTTTGCCAGACCTCTACTTAAACATCTCCATGATCCACATATAAAATTAGCACTACATGTAGCAACACATCTGTCACAAGCTACAGGAAAGTCCCAGTGGGAGGTGGTCAGATTCCCCAGGCCCACAGAAAGTATGACCAAACAGATTCTTGCTTCTCTACCATTTACAGAAGACATGCAACACTGGGGAGATGTGCATAATGGAGGTGATGGCTGGAAAATTGAAGAGCTCCCAGGAGACTTTGGAAAAGAATTCCCTAGTGAAGGAGTTCATAAATACTTTGTTACATCTTATGAGTAAGGCTGCTTTCTTCTCTTATTCAGGGAAGGGTACAATTCTGCTTCCCCTAGCCTCAGGAGAGGTTGTTTTACCAATTAACATTTTTGTATTTCAGGTGGTGTCGGAAGTCTCAGGTCATTGACCTGAGAGCTGAGGGCTACTGGGAAGAGCTGATGGATACAACCCAGCCTAAAATTGTGGTGAAAGACTGGTAAGTAGCAAGGATGCCCCAGAAGGCCAGCAGAAAGTCAAGGAAGAGCAGGGAGGGCATATACCTGCACTGGGCCTTAAAACCCTTTTTCTTACCCTATTGCATCCCTTCTGGTGTCATTCTAGTTGTAGGACAGGGTTAGATCTTGGCTGTCACTGGCAGCCTCCAGAGGCTTCAAGCTGTTGGTGCCCATGACATCTAAAGTCCAGATTCCTTTGGGGAATAAGGACAGGTGGTGGTTTGGGGTAAGAATGGTTACAGTTTTCTACCTCTACCAATCTCCTCAGGTTCCTGGGACCTTGGTTTGAAGCCAACATTGCAGCCATTCAGCAGGACACAACTACTTGCTTTAGCTCTTTGTCAAGTTCACAGAGACAAGGCTGGCAGCTTGGGTCTCCCTTGCAGGTACGCAGGACGCAGTGATGCTGGCTGCCTTTACGAGCTCTATGTGAAGCTGCTTTCAGAGAATGAGGATGTGCTGGCTGAGTACAAGACTGAGACTATTGCCATCCCGCAGGACAATGATGCCAACTGGACTGAGGTGAGTGACAGCTGTAGTTTCAGCAGGTGACACCCAACCTGCATGAACAAGGAGTATTTTTAAGCAAACACATGCAGGAGTAGTTACCCTGGGGGAGGAGAAGGCTCTGTCAGAAGTTCTGTTGAGCCATGACTGATTGAGCAGAGGAATTATATTGCAAAGGTATCTTAGACAAAACCTGGAAGCTTGCTGAGCCATCACTACAAGTATGTAGGATTTTGGAAGATGTGGGAGAAGTTCAGTGGCCTTTGAATAGAGCTTGGGCAAAGCATTCCCAGTAACTCCTTTCCCACTGTTACCCAGGCTGGTAGGTATGGCTGGAGCAGGTGGGGTTGAAGGCCCTGTGCACTGAGGAGTAGGTTCGTGGTGGTTTGACACTTACCAACAACCGTTTTGTTTCTCTCACCCCAAAGATCTCCCACACCTTTTCCAACTATGGTCCTGGGGTCCGCTTTATCTGCTTTGAGCACGGTGGCCAGGACACGCTGTTCTGGAAGGGATGGTATGGTGTACGTGTTACCAACAGCAGCGTGACGGTGGAACCATAGCCAAGCTGAACCGGGGCCTGCTTGCCAGAGCTGACTCCCCTCAGGCCATCCCACAGGCTTTGGATGGCTTCTGCATGGTGCTGCTTCCAGGCTGTAGAGCATACAACTCCCGTATGAATGTGCGTGCCAGATGCCAGGGGCCACCATCCATCTCTCCTCAAGAGGACTATGCAAAGAATAGGAACAGATGGGTGAAACCACACAAGACAGCCTCATAGTTGCACTGATGTTCTCTGTTGCACATAAAATTACCTAAAAATCCTTACTGAGAAGGAAACCTTGCTGCTCTCCTGAGAGGTATCACCCCAGCCATGAACACCCAGCCTGCACTAGATACTCTCATGCCTCCTTCCCAGACTTGAGCACTGTTAACTCTAAGGAGGACTCTGGGCGTATTTTCAGGAAGTTCAGAAGGGGGAAAAAAAATAATACAGGAAAAAAAAGAAAGCATAGACATTGTGTCTCTGCTGAGAACAGACCAGGAAAGCCAGAGTCCCGTCCCAGCTCTGTCACCAACTACTTCCATGGCCTGTGGTGAGGATCTTAGCTTCTCCCATTCGTAAGTGATAGATGCCATGGCCTGCCTTAGATGAGCTCTGCCTTGGCTGCTAAGTGCCGCTCCCTGTTTTAATTGTGAGAGATGATAATGCCAAGCAATAGGGATTGGATCCTTCTCTATTACAATTTTCCCAGCATCTATTTATCAGGGAAAGTGTTGGGAACTGAAACCACTCTGGTGTGCACTGTGGAGCTTCATTTGGCTCTCAAACAGCAACTGAGAATAATTGCTGTGAGAAAGACGAGGACTTGGGGAAATGTCTCACAAGCAAATTGCAGAAGGGGCCCAGGAACAAGTGAAAACAAAATGCGTCTGCTCCTTCCCGGCCTCTGCTTGCTTCATGCAAATCTAGTGGGGCTCTTTGCAGGCAGGAGATTCACAGAATATTCTTCACACAGAAAGCTGTCATTAGCTCTGCTTGATCTCAGTTCTTCCTGCCTGCTAACAGTGTCTGCAAGAAGTACACGCCTGCCTTCCCTCCATATGCTCACCAAGACAGCACTTTGTACATACGCCCACCAGTGCCTCTGGGTATCACTCAGGGCTGTGAGCCCCCATCCTGAGCAGAAACATCTAAGCTTCCCTGAGCCAAGCCTGTCCCTTCTAGTCAGTCCCCTCAGAAAAGCATCCTCAGACATTGCCCAGAGCTAGGTGCTTCCATTTTTATGTTCATCTGTTTTCTCTTCCTGGCCTGCCCAGGCAGAGCACATACTTGGATGCCACCTGGCAGCAAAGCACACCGGTACAAGTGCAGAGTACTGGTATCACCTGGAGCCAAAGACAGCGACTTCTGAGCCGGTCACTTTGTGTGCATTCTGCTTCATCAGGCTTTCTGCACTGCTGCACCCAGCTGCCTCAGGCACACTAGCCTTCCAAACCACAATCGTGCCAAGCCAGAGTCCAGGAAAACATAATAAAAAATGACACAGTTGTATGTGGATCTTCCTTTGTGTGCTGGGTATTTTTTTTCTTGTCCTTAAGCATGCTTTTTCTCTCTCCAGTGGAATCAGGTGTCAACTAGTCCCATCCAAAAACCAGGAGGCTTTACATATGGTATAATAACACAAGCCTCCTGGGAAAAGGCACGTGCTCTGTTCCCCACCCCAGCAACCTGAACCTGTCAGAAACACTTGACAGCCAATAGTTCTGCAGAGCAGCTGTGGGCAGGGATGTGCTCAAAAGGTAACGGGAATTCATGCAAGGCATGGAGGAGGTTCAGAAAGGCTCCTACAACATCCATCCCTGACCCACACCCTTCAGGTCATCTGCAGCTGTAACTCAGCTGTGAGCTCAGCTGTGGTTCTGACCCAGGAGAGAGTAGAACCAGTTCAGTTCTTCCCTCTCTGTTGCCTCTGCACACACTGTCACACAATGCAGCTTTATTCAGCACAGCCTTTAGTGCGGCCAACCAAATTTCTAGTTAATATTCAGCTCACTGCCAGAGACCTACTCCACAGAAGAAATGAGGCCCTGGTCTGTCCCTAAGGAATCAGTACAGCAATACATGTAGGATCAATACACCAGGTCTTGATGCAACTGTAAAACTGAACCTTTCCTAAGCCACCATCTTACACTCAGGATAAACCCCAGGATTAAGCCTTCAGATATCATGGCCCTTGTAAATACAGGATGGGGCCATGATCCCCACCTTAGGCTTACCTAGGCTGAACTACTAAATGCACACAGCCTCCCCGGCAGCAACTTTACAATGAATGCAGCTGCCAGCGGCTTTCCCTCCCCATACCAGCAGGCCTGATGTTCACACTGACTGCTAGGGGCATCCTGCAGAGCTGCCCTGACTTTCCAAGATGTGCTTTCCACGACATTCGATGTCTCACAGGTTCACGAAGGAGAACGACTACCCCTGCTCAGGAGAGCTCTGCAAAAACTGCCACCGACCTCAGGAGACCGATTGCTCCTTGCAGCAGGGCTCTAGCACTGACATGGCTGAATGCAAGCGTAAGAAGTTGGTGTCTGTACTTGGAAAATAACTCTCGCTCGCTTGAGCCATTATAAATATTTTGCTCCTAATGCCTTTTGAATTTTGATCGAACACCAGGAATCTGAACACACCACACACATACATACATCCCATTCCTAGACAATTTTGATGCTTCTGTCCAAGACTGAACAGAGCACGGGAGGTTAATGGGCTCCCACACGTTACAGGCTAAGGAAACTAAGACCACACAGTTTCATAGGATTACAGAAAGTCAGAACAACTGTGACAAAACGATTTAAATGCTCAGCCACTAAAGGGCTATATTGCACGATTCAGTGACCAATGAGGGTTCCTTCTGCTTTCTATTATGCCAATAGGAGCAAACACCTGCATGACACTATCAGTAGCTTTTGGGAACATTGATTACCAATGCAGACATTTCACATGCCATACAGACAGAAGAGGTCTGTGCAGAAATTATAACAGATGTTTTCATCAGCTATATGCAAAATATTTAGAAATCTGAGCATTAAGTACAAAACCAAGAGCTGCTGGAACATTTGATGCTTAAACAAACAAACAACAAATACACACAGCAAAAGCTCTTTCCTCAGTCCTGAGCATGGCAACCAGAGCTGTGCAGCATGCTCATATTTCCTTTGCATATCAAGCCCCCAGTGCACCACAGCCATCTCTGGGGCAGATCACCATTACGCGTAGTAGTGAGCTACACAAAATAAAGAAAGGAAACGCCCTCTGAAGCCCTCCTGTTGGAACAAAACACCTGAATGATGGAAATTGGTGAACATTTAAAAGGTGCCAACCACTCACATTTGGCCAAGACGCATGAACACACCTCTGCCCCTCACTGCTTTAGTGCTCAGAGATGTTAAGAAAAGCCCTAGATGCAGCACTCCACAGGGTCCCTTCCTGCCCTCAGCAGCTGGCATTCCTCCCACACGTGGAGTCTGACATCCCGCCTAGCCAATTGCATCTTGGTGGCTGCAGTTATTCAAGAACCTTCTGCAATTTTCTTTTTTACAAAGCCCACCCCAGCCAGTCCTGGCTATAAATGCCATTAGACTTCAAAAGGGTGGTTGCTTTTTTTTTTTTTAGTGCTTGTTTGTTTTTCCCCCCTCCCCCTTTCTTCCACAATAGCTTCCACAGTTGGTCTCTTGCAGAGGAACAGAGCACAGCAAGATGGGGCCCTGGCAAGGAAGCACTAACATAGATCTCTTGTCAAGTCTAATTGAATTTTTCTACATGAAGCATCTATTATTACCCACCTGGGGAGGTTGCGGACAGATGGAGGAGTTTGCTCCCCCACCAGACATTCAAAAAACCATTTGAAGATGGGGGGAGGAGGAGAAAAACAACTCCCTGTTGCTTGCAGCCCAGCTGTTCTAGCCAGTTTAAAAGGGAGGATAATTTAGGAGATTGATTCCTCCTAAATCAAACACTTTGTAGAGGCTGTGAATGGCAGCTCCTGAAAGCCAGGATAGCAGGGCATTGAGCAGGGAAGTACGGTCCCAAATGGGATGGAAAACCAGTGGCTCATCCTTTATTTGGCCCACACACCTGTCAGGAGCAGAGTTCCTCTAAGAAGTGGCAAACACCAAGCAAGGGAACAAGCCTCCATCCCCTGGGCATCTGACTGGGCTGACCTGATGCCTGTTTCTTCCTCCATCCAGCTGTGTTGTCCTGACATCCTTAGGGCCTGAGTGCCCAGCCTCCTCAGTCTCCTAGCTGTCAGGAATAAAGGGCCTAATGACACTTTCCCACTAGGGAGGCGTGCTTTGGAATTAGGGAGGTAACAGCCATAACTGAGTTCAACTGGGAAAAGCCTCGTGGAGGCTGGAAAACATCACTCCTGCATGAGACAGCTGCACCAGAGCTGAGCACCTCCGTGCAGAGCAGCCTGCACACACCACGAGGAGCACCCAGACAAACCACAGCAGCCTGGAGAAGGTGTGTGGTTAAGATTGCTTCCTAAGGGAGAAATGCCACGGGAACATTAAGCCAGACAGAGCCAAACAAGCATATTTTTGGGCTGTGGATTGCCCTCCCTCATTTTTTGAGAACTAGAGCTTTGTCTCATGCAAGGAAAGATTGCAGCAGAGCAACCGGACTGCTCTTACCTCCTCCCAGCCAGCTGACAGCACCAGGACAGCACTCCGGACACAGTCCTATTAGCTGTCCAGGCAGGGTCGATGTCCCAAACCCCCCCGTGGCCACCAGCCCCCATCTGTGCCCCCGCACAGGGCTCGCTGCCGGGGCCGCGGAGCTGCAGGGACAGCAGAGGGCACTCGGGCTGCAGGCAGCGAGCCGGGAGCCACCCGGCCTCGGGCGCTTCTGGCTCCTCTGCTCGGCGACTCTGCACCGAGAGATGCGGAATAATTTAGTGCAAGCCTTCCCCAGTGAGTGTTATACCTGGGGGCTAGTTGCTGACCACTGCTCCTTGTCTCTGCTGGCTGCAGTTTAGGCTCAAGTTGGCTTTTTCTCTCCCTGTCCTGTTGAAATACTGCTGCCGTGGTTTGCAGAGCAGCTTTGCCAGCCCCTGACGCTCATCTCTGCCACCTGGGACACCCACACCCCACGCATCCTGGAAGCACAGCTGCCTCTTGTGCAAGCAACGCCCACTGCACAGTTGTTTTGGATGCAGGCCACCTTTTAAGCCATAACACACTAATTGGAGAGCAGGGAAAGCTTTCTTAGACACAGCTAAAGGCCTGGCTTTCAAATCCCATCGGAAGCAGCACAGCTCCTCCAACCCCATCCTAAGACACTGATTTAGTAAGACCATCACCTACATCAGCAACATTCCTGTCCTTGCACAGCATCTTCTTAACCCAGCCCACGAGAATCAGCAGAATCACACCCGGAGCAGGACTGCCTGCATCCCCATCCACCCCCTGCTCAGGCACCTGCAGCCACTTCGCTGCCTTCCTGGCATGCCAAGTTCCACAGCCCTCCCTAACAAGAGGAGAGTCCCAGCTACATTACACATGCCCTTGGCTAACCTCCCTTGCAGGCACTTAGAGCAACTCATCTGGAGCTGCTATCTGTGCAGACCCATTAACTGCGGTGCAATCAGCGCGCCCAGGAAGGCAGAGAGGCCACAATAAAGTCACAAGTGAGCTCGCTGCATTGATGGATCGTGGGGGAGCACATCCCACTGCATCAGGAGCTCGGCTCTACCAGGGAGGGGAGCAGGCATCAGCAAGGAGGTGCCTCTCACCGAGCATGTTGCAGGAGCAGGTGGTGTCTTTGGGAAACCAGGGGACACCCACCATGCTGCAACTGCTCTGTGAGCCAGCTGCCTGGAGGGGATGGGGTGGAAGGGGTTATGGCTAATGAGAGGGTTGCATGAGCACTCACATATATATATTTATAGTACAAGTACATTTCAGAAGCCATCAATTCAACCACCCTGTCTCATGGACCCCAAACTTTTCCTTTCAGCTTCCCAAAGCTCTTTTCCAGACGCACACCCCAGGCTGCTGTTGCACAAAGAGTTAGGACACGAGAGCACCAGCTGCAAGTCCACTGCCCTGTGGAAAGAGGCTGGTTTTCACAGAATCACAGAATCACAGAATTTCTAGGTTGGAAGAGACCTCAAGATCATCGAGTCCAACCTCTAACCTAACCCTAACAGTCCCCACTAAACCATATCCCTAAGCTCTACATCTAAACGTCTTTTGAAGACTTCCAGGGATGGTGACTCCACCACCCCCCTGGGCAGCCTGTTCCAATGCCTCACAACCCTTTCAGTAAAGAAATTCTTCCTAACATCTAACCTAAAACTCCCCTGGCATAACTTTAGCCCATTCCCCCTCGTCCTGTCACCAGGCACATGGGAGAACAGGCCAACCCCCACCTCTCTACAGCCTCCTTTAATGTACTTATACAGAGCGATAAGGTCACCCCTGAGCCTCCTCTTCTCTAGGCTGAACAAGCCCAGCTCCTTCAGCCGCTCCTCATAGGACTTGTTCTCCAGGCCCCT